AAACAGTGATCTATACTAGATGCTGGGCTATGGGTGTAGCTAAACACAAAATGTTGGTGGCTGCTCTCTTTCCCTTCTTCCCAATGGTGTCGTCCTCTCAGCCTTGCTCACCTCTCCGCAGCCTACCGCCCCCCTTTCTGCCCCTGTAACTTCCTCCCAAATGCAGAAGGAAACCGCCCTGCTTACTCAGAGCAGTCTCAGCCAACTGACTTCAGATAAGACGAGCTCCTTGGCAGGGAGATGTGAATATAAAATTGCAAACAGCTTTTGAAGTTGCAGATCCATAATCTTCTAAGCCAAAGAAGAGGGGTTTGCTTCTTCTCCCCCTGGTCTAAATCAACACTCCAAAGATCTGAAAAGAGGCCAGCCAGGCTTCGGATGTGATCTCAACAAGCCTGCCTGCCACACACATGCATTTCCAGCCTGTCGCCCGAGCAAAACCCCCATGCGGCTTGTCACCACCTGATACAGGAGATGTGTTTCTACTGAAATCAAAGCAAAGGGGTGTGTTTTGCTGCCCTTTCATGTGCTCTACTACATTCTGACTGACCTGGCTGTGCCCTTAGCTTTTTAAGCAACTAAGCACTTTCAAGTTTAGAAGGTGGGATGCTGAGGGTTTCCGAACACAGGGGCTGGCCTCTGCTGCTTAATAGTGGGCAACCTCAGCCAACTCACATAACCCTCTCATCTCAATTCTCCGTCTGCAAAATGGGACTCTAACAAGTACTTTACTTCATACTTTAATACTTGCATACCTGGCACTTTCATTAGTACTTCCATTATGTTTGTTGTAAGTATTAACACAGACCATCCATGTGGAGAATTTACTATAAGGCTAATGCAAAGTAAGCAATAAATATTAGCCATCATTGTTCATTGTAAGATTGAAAACACAAAATTCAAGCCATATATCACATAACTTTTAGATTTTAGATGGCATCTCAGCAGGTCCTCTTAATATATCAGGGTTACAGTAAATAGGTTTAGATAGATGGTCATGCACACAACTGCAATTTTTATAATTCAGTATTTTTTCTGCATAGAAATTAATGATTTACAAGAATTAATAAATATCCTTTTAGAATTAAATCATCTTAAAACAGTGCTGAGATTATACACAATTTTGTTAGTCTCTATGGTATTCATTTCTCTATTTCCTAATTTTCTACAAAAAGCATGCATTATTTTATAGCTAGAAAAAATAAAACAGAATTATATACATAATAAAATTAAGCACAAGATGTCATGTAGTGTGTAAACACAGATATCTAAAGGAAATGGTAATCAAAGTATAAATAATGGAGATTACATCATGGCTTCCCCTATTGGCACAACTAGACATTTCTTTTGGAACGTTTTTGAGACCTCATTCTCCAAATCTAAATAGAAACGGGCCCCAGATATTGCTTAGATATTATTGGCGGTAGTTTCAGCCCAGAGAAAAGCAAAACAAAGTCTTTTTTTTTCTTTTTGGCAGTTGGAGGCCACCACCTGAGCTTGTTCCATTCCTGTAGTGAAAAGCCTCAGTCTCACAGGCCTGTTTAGGGATGACTTGCCAAGTGCACAAAGATAGGCATGTATGCACGTGCACACGCACACACACATATATGCTCATATACACCCCAAACCCTGAGTTTCATTTCCATGGCTTTGTTTCTTGGGAGCACTAACAGATATTAGCAGACCCTATTTCACTTTTTCCTCGATGCTATCTGGGAATTTCAGCCCTCTCCCCCAACTTAAATAGTGAGAAATGTCCCCAAATAGATTTTTTTTCCGACTGATAATATATTAGTTCTTATAAGTTGAGAAAATGCTAGTGTCCTATAAGCATACAGAACAAAGTATAAAAACCGATGTTAAAAATCCCACTTTGAAGTACTCATATATGAAAGATGAGGCGCCGTAGATAATCTAATCTGTTCTTAGGATCTATTAGCAAGAGGAACCAGCTGGGTCATTTGGCACAGAACAAAAGCCCAGGGGACCTCAAAAGTTGGCTGTTATTTGGTAGTAAATTCAGGCCTCTCAGAGGTTGAGAGAGGTCTTAGCCAATTATATATTTGGAAATTTCTAATATATTAAAAATTGAATAGATGCCAAAATTCTGCTACAAAAAAATATGGTACTTTATATGTTTACATTTAGCAAATGAATGCTTTTGACCCAAGTATAATTTCAAAAACCATATGCATAACTTCTTTTGGAGATAGCTCAAACTTAAAGGCCCTTATCAATGAGAAGCCCAAGGCAAATTGGCCCTCTATTCCCACCCCACCATGAGCCTGAATAACTGATCAGAGGACAGTGTGAGAACAGTATTGCTTCACATGCTGATCTGAACTCAATGCCATCCACCCTTTATCCAGTTCCATCAGAGGGGTAGGATACCAAAGGCCAAGATGAAAAACATCAAACCCAGGGCTACAAAGGCTATATGCAGGCTTGAACCACTCTTTCCAAAGCAGACAGGCAGATGATGTCAAAAACTAAAATTCCTGTCCTGAAACAGCGTTCTCAGCTCTTGGGATATTAAGTAGCCAGTGGCCTCATTTTCTTCCTCTCTACCCTTTTCACACATAAAAGATTGGATCTAAAGCCCTCAAATCTAAAGGCACTGAAGAGGAGAAATAGATTCTTGAAAATGATAATGAGTACTCTTTTTTTTTCATATTTCACATTTTAATTCAAGTGGGTTATGAACTTCCATTTTACCCCGTAAAGTACTCTTAACACCTGTGTTTCTAAAGCCCTTTAGAGTAGGAAAAATAAGATAATGATGTAAATATATGTCAGCAGTTCCATATATATTCCATGCTTTGGGCCTTATGGGTCATCCATGTGATGACTGGTCCATACCAGGTCTCTTGAAGCACAGGAGCAGAAAGACAAAAGGAAAGATCTCTGAAATGAATAGAGACAGACAGAATGATGCAAGGGCCTTCCATGAGTGATCTCATGGCAATCCCAGCATCCCTTCCTCTCTGTTCAGATAATATGACTATGTTAACTTAGAAATTGTTAATCTCAGGCTCCTACATCCTCCATAATCTGGCCTCATAATACCTGGCATATGGTGCATGTTGTAAATATTAACCGGCCTAAACTGATGCTTTTAAAATAAGTTAGACAACTGTGGAGCCCGAGGCAGGAGAATCACAAGTTGTAGGCCAGCCTGGGAAAGTTAACAAGTTCCTATCTCACAGTGAAAAATAAAAAGAAATGTAGTTTAGTGGCAAAATGCCCCTGGATTCAATCCCCAGTATTGAAAAAAGAAGAAGGCAGTGGCAGCTGCAGCCTTCATGGGCCATTATGAGGTTCTGAGGGACATCGGACAGGGCAGCTTAGCCAAAGTAACACTGGCCAACACATCCTGATGGGGACAGAGGTAGCCATACAGTCCAGAGAAAGGTGCAGTGGGACTTGTCCTCCCATCATGTCCGAGGTGGATATAATGAAGGCTGTGGAGCACCCCCTATGGTCCAGTTGTTTCAGATCATGGAAACCCCTGGAAATGTCCACATTGTGATGGAGCATGCAGGTCAGGGACAATAGCTGCCTCACATCCAGGAGGCCATGGGCCTACAGGAGGAGGAGGCCAAGAGAGTGTTCAGGTAGTTCTCGAGCTCCCATACTACTGCCACAAGGAGGGCAGGACACACCAAGACCTGAAGGCTGAGAACATCCTGGTGGATGCTGGAGGCAGCATCAAGCTCTGTGACTCAAGCCTGGCTTGCAGGTTCAGTGCTGGACAGAAGCTCCACACAATCTGTGACACCCTGTGTACTGGGCCCTGGAGCTCTACCAGTAGCAAGAATACAAAGGTCCTGAGATGGCTTCTATAGCCTAGTGTCCTGAACCTCATGGTCACAGGGTGCTTCCCATTTTATGGGACCGCCTTTGTGCAGGTGAAGATGCAGGTCCTATAGCAAGGTATGACATCCACTCCCACCAGTTGACCAAGGTGCAAAGCCTTATCTCAAAAATGCTGACCATGCAGACCACGAAGAGGCCCACAGTAGACCAAATAATGGTGCTGAGCCAGGGTGAGGAACACTCACTTCAACTGAACCACTTCCCAAGCACCCAGACTCCTCAATATTGATGGTCATGTTTGACCTGGGTTACAGCCTGCTTGAAATCTGGTATTGATGACAACCTGACAATCTGATGAGACCATGATAACCTATCTCATGCTCCAGCACCAGAAAACCTAAGGGCAGCTGAATGGTCCACTGAATCCTGTGTAGCAGGAGTGAGGTCATGCCCATCCCTCTCTATCCCTTCCAGTTTCACTCTGAGCTCAAGGAGGAGTGCTGGTGAGCTTCCCCTTTGCTTCTTCCCCCTCTTGCTCTGTAAGCAGCAGTTGCCTGAGGAGCACAGGCAGCCAGGGCAGAGAGGAAGCAGAAGAGCCAGCCTGCTGGCCATTCCCCTCTGTGGCCTGCCGGACAGCACCACCACTCCCAGCCTTTTGGCCCTTCTGCTTAGCTGCTGGCCAAGCAGCAGTGGGCAGGAGGCAGAGAGCAAGCCTTTCCAGGCTGTGTTATCAGAACAAAGTTCTGTCTCACCAAGCAATTCTATGGTGCGACAAGTGGCTGTACCTGTGACACCTGGGGCAAAGGGAGAGTGACAATAGGATTACGCTGTCTCACGTGGATATGTTGTGCATGCCAACTGAAAGACAAGCCCTGGACACCTAATCAAAGTGGCTCCCGTGCAAGGAGGGCAAATACCACCTTCAGACTAACAGACAAGTGACTCCACCCAATGAAGAAGGCAAGCACGCCAAACCTTCAGGAACAAAGTGGCTCACACGAAAGCACACAGCTGAGATGCCAGCAAAGCCAAGTAGGTGGGGTAGTGTGGCCTTTTATTTCACATGTGCTTTTATTGATGTCATTTCCAAAAGATAAATCATCACCATATACATTTGTGGGATGCAGTGGTGTTTAGGTAAATCTATGTGCCATGGGATGATTAACTCTTGGTAATTCACGTACCTGTGTCCTCAGACAGACCACACAGGGTCTTGCTTATGTGAAACAGCTGATGGATGGAGATGTGTGACTTGCTGGCCTCCTTCTCATAGATTCCAGTCAGGAGGACACCTGAAGCCACCTGGACACTAGTGGGCTCCTCCACTCCACCTGGAAAAGACAGCAGAGACTTTCCTAGGACACCTGCCTCTGCCCTCCTTTTGTCCGTTCTTGCTCCCACATTTCTAGGATAAGATGCATCTCAATAAAGTCTTAATACATTTCTGTTTCTCACAAATCTTATAACAAATTTGGTGCTCCGTTGATGATCAGATATTTCATTCTTTTGCATCTTCCTTGCAGTGTCGGAAGAGTGGGTAGTAATGTCATAGTGGGAATGTGCAAGAAAGGAGTGAACTTCAGAGACCTGCTGGGGTCCCCCAACAGCAACACATGGCTCAAAGTATGCTAATGGGACAAGACACTGAGCTGCCTTGGGGGGACAAACAGGCAGACCTTTTGTGTGAACTGACACTGACGGTCCACAGTTGCTATCTTCAGAAGGGAACCATTGACAGGAAGTGCCATCAGCCCATGTTCATCCTGCACAGACATTCAGAATTACGTAAGAAAGCCCTGTGAAGCAGTCCATGATGGGACTCAGGGTAGTGGGGGTGCCACTCCATTGTTTGACTATATCACACAAGGAGTTCAGTCTTGCAATGGTGACACTTTAATCTCTCTAGAGCAGTGGCACAAGACTGTCCCTATAAAAGTCCTGACTCAGGGATGGGTCCTTCAGCTACCTGAGTTTCCATGGAGTGCTGAGCAGTGAGCCAGACATTTTGGGAGTCGAGGGAGGAATGGAGGGGCGGCTGGGCGGAGCTATTTTCCAGGGTAAGTTCCAGGTTCCCAGGTCCCAGTGTTTCTGTCTTAGGCAGTGAAAGAGTGGCTTGGGAAACCATCAGGGGGCTTCCTCATAGTTCCTGAGGAGCCCAAGGAATGCCTAGAAGGGCTAAGGAATGGCAGATCTTGCCTGGCTGCCCCTTCTGTCCCTCACTATTCCAAATTCAGTTGCAGAGGAGGGGTTCTGGTCTTTGTTCTCAAGGGTGGGGAATCTGCTGGAGTTCCCAGCCAGAAACCAGGGCATCAACTTGAATTGCAGAGATGGTTAAAGGTGCACAGTGGGCTCTGGATTGGAGAGTCAAACCATTCCCAGAAGAGGAAGTCCCTAGAGCCACCCCTGAGAGAGGAAACCTACTGCAGATTAGACTGTGAGGAGCAGGGGTCAGAAAGAGGAGGGAGTAGATAGCAAGGGGGCTGGAAAGGTGGAAGGAAGGAAGGGAGGAGTGAGGAGAGAAGGGATGGGAGGCAGCAGGGAGAGGAGGGGCAAAAGGCAGGAAGGATGAAGAAGCTGGAGGAGGAGGGAGAAGGGAAGGGGTCCAGGAGTAGAGGGGAGGAAGAGAGTACAGAGGGTATGATAGGGGAGAGGAGGAGGGTAGAGAAAGGAAGTGGAGGAGAGGCAGGGTGGCATAAGGAGAAAAAGAAAAGGCTAGGGTACAGGGGAGGGTTGGAGGAGGACTGGGAGAAGACAGGCTGATGTGCCAGAGGCAATGGCTGAAAAGTAGCTCCTGGGGACTTCCAGAGGGAGTGGTTGTCTCAGGAAAGAGGAATAGAGAACACATTCTGCATTTGAGACTTGAAGAACTCGGGGACAGACCTGCTGCTCACTGAGCAGGAGAGGCTGGAAGAAGGCAGATGGGAGAGCAAAACCCTGAAAAGTCCTTTGGTCCTTTGTTTGGGGGCACCCAGACTCCTTCTGCTGGGTGATTTTTAATGCAGTATGAGATTTGTTGTATAGTACACCGCTTTCCTGTACTGTTTCCTACTGAGAGGGTATTTAGGTTGCTTTCCTTTGGGGTCCACGGTGAGTAATGCTTCAATGAACATTTGGTATATACATGTCTGTCAGCATCTCTGATCATCTCCTTTTGAACATCGCAGAGGCAGAATTACTGCATAAAAGCTATGTACACTTCACATGGCTTTAATATCTGTGACAAAATGATGCTCCTGAGAAGTGGTACTGTCATATATTTCTCCAAGCAGGGTGAGGAGTGCTGGTCTCACAGAATCTGCATCATCTAGACTTTCATACTTGGTCTGAGTCTTTGCCAGGTAGATATGCAGGAGGTGCTTTTGAATTCCTCCATCAGATACAATGCCCCTGGGGCTCACGTGGTGAGGAATAGATGAGTTCCTCTTCTTCCCATGGGTTTCTATGTGGTCACTGGACCACGGATGCATTTTCCCCTACACCTTGAGGGTAAATATAGGTGTGGAGGCCACTGAATGTGTACTTGTGTGGACTCTTCCATACTGTTCTTGGATTCATACATATGGCGCCACTGTTCTGGAACATTATTTCAGAATATATTTTAAGACTGTAAAATTTATATAGTCTGCTCCCCACCTCTCCTGCACTCATTTTGAATCTTATTCTTGTTCTTCCAGGTCTCTGACCTATCGCCTCTTGCCTGAAAACCTCAGTCAGTGTTAGGGATGAATTTCCGCCAGCCATTTGCCTGCACATTGAATGAACAGCACCCTATGGCTTATGAATTTCAGCTGGTCCCAGAATGAGGAACTGCCTAATATGATTGATCTGATGGACAGACTCTCATGCAGCGTGGACTCTGGCAGGAAGTGGCTGGGAATGGGAGGGAACATTAGGGCTGAGATGTGGGCGGCCTTTGGTCTCCCAGGAACATGGTCCTTTTCTCTATTGGGAGACTGGGTTAGTCAGCCTTCCCTCACTATGACTATGACCCTTGATAACCAATTTATAGGGAGTATAGGTTTATTTTGGCTCATGGTTTCAGAGGTTTCAGTCCATGTGGTTGGCCCTGTGGTTTGGGGCCTGTGGTGGTACAGTGACTGTGGCAGGAAGGAGCATATTTGGAGTGAGCTATTTGACTCATGGTGGCTGGGAAACAAAAAAGAGATCAAAAGGGAGTAGGGTCCCATATCCCCTTCAGAGCCCTGCCTCCCACAATCTCTCTTCCTTCCATAGGCCCTGTCTACCAAATGTTCCGCCTGCCAATAGCAGCACAGACTGAGGACACCTTAACCACATAGGCCTTTGGGGACATTTCAGATCCAAAATATAGCAAGCACCCACCACCTGACTTGTAGCTGGGCACATGATGGTCCAAGACGGGAGTCCCTCCCAGCTCGAAGAAGTCAAAACTGAGCTTTCCCAATTTGGGGTATTCTCTCTGTTTCTAAGTCCTTCTATCAAGGAATAGAGCCCCTTCTCACTTGGGTTTTCCTTCCAAGTCCTCCAAGGGCAGGGTGTACAAATTGCTCCATCCCACTTGTGTGTATGGCAGAGCAGGAGGCATCTGCCTTCTGACTACAGATCACAACCACCCCCCACCCATGCCCTTCTGTGATAGGGGTGGGCTGTGCACCTCAAAGAAGGTTGAGAAGAGTATGCCCCATGAGTTCACACATCAAGGACAGCAGAATGTGGTCATGGGACATATTTTGTGTCCCTCAAAGCCTGATATATTCTCCCTGGCCCTTTCCAGGAAAAGTGTAGGACACTGACCAAGAAGTTAATGATTGTAACATCAGCAATAGCTTGCCCTATGCAGACTGCCCCTGTCTTTTCAGCCACCTTTAGGGCTTTCCTGGTTCCACTTCATTTATTCTAATTAGTTTCCCCCGATATTCAGAAGGAGCCCTCAATACTCCAATTTAGAGATGAGAAAACAGAGGCTCATTTGCTTTTGGTAATTTGCCACCTGGTTGAGTCAGGTTTGATCCCCAGTGCTCTGACTTCAAAGGCCACTCTGAGTACTCCTGCCTGGGTTCTGGGTCCTGTGGCCCCTCCACTTTCACACTTGGGATCCCTTAATACAGCCAAAGCTTCAGGAACCACCAGCCCAGAGATGGATGGACTGGCAGACACATCAAGTTGCCCTGGCATGTCCTGCTTGACATGTCCCTTGCCCTTGGCTACAGCTGTCCCTGCACCTGCCAGTTCTGAAATTCTGTGACTAAACCATTCCTGGTCTCCTATCCCCATGGGCCATTCCCCCAGAGCCTGACTGTTCTCTGTTCTCAGAAACGCAGTGAAAGAGCCCTGGTCACCCGGGGCAGACACTTTGGAGCCAAGAAGAGTTTCAGGTGGGTTCATCTAGGAAGGTTGGCATTGGCATTTATGCCCATGAGGAGATCTTAGCATGCAAAGCTAAAACCTTGGTCCCAGAGAGAAATGAAAGCTGAGCAGCTGAGGGCTGGAAGGGAACGGCGGGGGGGTGGGGGATATGAGAACTACTGGGAAGTGAATGTGTCATTTAAAAAAGCAAGTCAGTTCTGAAATGATTACAATTGGCCTTTAAGGCCAGAGTTAGCCAAACCTGACCCCTGGTATCCCTCAATCCCAGTAGGCAACGGGCTGTGTCTGGGAGGGAGGGGGGCATGGCTAGTGGCTGCTGTTCCCCAGCCATGTGGCCAGACCTTGAATGTGAGAGCCTGGTCCACGGCACCCCTGCTCATTGTTCACACTGTAGCATGGGATCCTGCTGGTGGTTAGGGTGGTATGCTAGTTCCACTGGGTTGGAGGGCTCAAGGTCATGATGAGAGAGCTTGAGTATTGCCCCTCTGTGTGGGTGAGTACACTCTGGAAAGAGCCCCTCTTCCTCGACTCAGGTGGTTGAGCCCCCTCTGTTAGCACACATCCTGCCTGTGATGTGCAGGGTGGCCCTCTGATGTCACAAAGGGCACCACTAGGTTTTCGGCTGCCAGGCATGGGCCAAAGAAGTGCTGTGATGCATGGAGAGCCCTGTAGTGTGGAAGCCAGAGCTCTGGAGTCTGTGAGGAGCCACAGCCCTGCCCTTCCCCACTGGCCAAGTGTCCTCCCTCAGGCCAGGCCCTTCCTCACTGGGGTGTGGTTCAGCACCCTAGCAGAGTAGGCTCACACCAGGGCCCTCAGCATCCTGGCAACCTCACCTGTCTCTTCCTATTCTTGGGTTTATGGCAGATAGATGGGGAGAGAGGGGCCCTGCCACCCCACGCGCCCACCCCCACAACTTCCCTTCCCATCTCCTGCCTCAGTTTCTCCTATACAAACTGGAGCACAGTCACCTTCAGCCCTCCTCCCTCAGCTGGGGGCACCCTGTGAGAAGCAGAGGCGATGGGCTGTGTCAGGCATGCAGGTATAAGGTTTGATGATAGGGCTCAGTCCAGGGGGACAGAGTGACACTGGCGGGAAGGAAGCAGGGACAATAAAAGTAACAATAGTGAAATGAATCTGGCATAATTTTCCCATGTACATATATGAAAACAACACAGAGAATCCCACCATCATGTACATCGATAAGAATGGAATCCTAAGAGGATAAGGTATACTCCATGCTTGTATAATTATATCAAAATGAGTTCTGCTGTCATGTAGGACTAAAAAGAACCAACAAATTTAAAGAAAATAAAAAAGAAAACAAGCCCATTTCAGCACATTTCAGGAAACTCCTTAGCAGAAGAAATGGCCACTGAGAATACAGGACCCAGGAAGACAGTGGGTTTCCAACATACCTCTTTGCTCATAAGGCAGAGTGTTTTCTCTCTCCTGTGGTAGATTCCTACTTCCAAATCTCAGCTGCTAGCATAATTGGAAGCAAGTGTTCAAAAAAAAGTTGCTGAAAGATGGCCATATTGTCCTTGAAAAGTTACAGAAGTAAAGCATTATGCACTTTTAAGATTCCTTTCAATAGGGAATTTTCTGTGTTCCAGCAGTACTGACTCCAAAAGTTCTAGGATATTACTGTGAAAACTTCCCAGTCCCAGAGATCACTGGTCTTCCTTGGAATACAAGGGCTGTCGCTCCTGCAGCAGTTACACCAGCAGACCATGTTGCTTTTCACAGGTTCTACCCTGCAGCCCTATGCTTGGTGCCTTTTGAAACAGCTAGGAGCTATTTAAAAATGTATCAGAGGGCTGGGGATGTGGCTCAAGCGGTAGCGCGCTGGCCTGGCATGCGTGCGGCCCAGGTTCGATCCTCAGCACCACATACAAATAAAGATGTTGGGTCCTCCGAGAACTAAAAAATAAACATTAAAAAAGAAATTATCTCTCTCTCTCTCCTCTCTCACTCTCTCTTTTAAAAAATAAATAAATAAAAATAAAAATGTGTCAGAGGCATCAATGTGAGTGACTAAACAAAACCATAAATAACAGATGGTGTCTTTCAAGCAAACTGAGAAAAACAACTCTCTACTTTCCTAGATGTGTTTTCCCCCTTGGTCCCAAAGCATTTTTCACTTCCCTATTCATTGCACATTTGGTAACTACCTTTGCACATCTGTGTCCTGCCCTGTTCTCAAGCATCTTTATATTCATAGAGCCTTCGGGGTAAGTGGAAATTAATAGACTCTCAATAAATATTTGATGGAAGGCTAAATGTAGGGAAAAATATTCGACACCAGAGTGCATCATGAAATACCATCTAACATTCTTGAGACAAAAAATGAAAGATCATCAAAGCAAAAACTTCCAACATCTATTCACCCAAATATTAAGAGAGGACTCCATTGTTCTGCAGATTTCATCAGTGATTCATTACAAATAATTACATGAGTATTTGAAATAATGGAATGTTGAAGTTTACACTTGTCATCACTGGCACCAACAAAAATGTTGGTCATGCCCAAAATAGCTACAGTTCATGTGACTAGGAGGAGAGTCACACAAAAGACTCCAGAGGTGATAGTGTCAATGTCCCAGGAAAGTCTGGAAGTCATCGTCTGGAACTGAAGGGCTTCAGGAAGCTGAGGGCAGCTTGTTCTCTTGACCCCCCCAGTTGGGTCACACACCCACAGCACTTACTGAGTGACAGGAAGTTGGAAGAGGACCCAGGTCAGACCTCCATAGTGGAGTGAAGTGCATGACACTTGTCTTCACCTCCCCTTTTAACGCCCTCCTCCTTGTCATTCCACTACCCTGATCTGTCCTTAGAAACCACAACAGAGAGGTCCCAACAAAGTAACTCATAACGGGGTATAAATAAGTTTAAAAGGATTGTGTAAATTTGTCTCCCATGAACATTTGCTTTTTTCAGTAACAGCAGTGCTGTTACTCCATAAAATAGTGAAATTTCTACCATCAATATCGACAAGAACACATTTCAAAAATGATGGTCACTGTTCGCTTGACATGAATAAGTAAATACATTTTTTAATCATTGGAAATTTGAGATTCAGTAGCTATATGCATTCTTTATTCATTAGAAATTTAAGATTCAGTAACTATATACATTTTTTAATCATTGTAAATTTAAGATCTCCTGTAACTATGTAACTATTTATGTGGGAAGAATGAACACTTCTATCTCCTGTGAGTGGTAGAGATACCAAGAGGTTATCAGGTTCTGACATTAATCAGTGGTTCTCTAGAGACCTCTAGTGGTCACTTTAGGAACTCATTTTGTCAAAAGCAGAATGAAAGGGGAGGTGAAGGATGGATGGCTGTTGGAGCAAAATGAAGACCCACAATCTGGTGATCTCCATTAAAGAGACATCCAGAACTTGCAATATAAAACGTTTGAGTCATTTGCTTCTCCTGCTTTTTCTCTATTCTTTCCTTTCTTTGTCTATGTTACAATTTCATTCCCTCTAAATGCTTTTAATGGCATTTGTACACACTGGGCTCTTTTTATCCATTTTCATTGCTTTGCCTGGATGGATTGTCCAGGCAAACCATCTTACCCTTCAAATGACCTGTATTTCTCTCATGAATTCCGTGGGCATTTATACCTTGTTTCACCTTGACATTCACTTGGTCTTTTGTTAACTCTAACTTAATGCCTTACATGTTCTCTCAGACAAATGTAAGGACATGCTATTGATGTCTTTAATTTCCACACTTATCCTCCAAGAAAAGTATTTCTTCAGGGGAATTGAAGTGGACTGTCCCCAGGGACTATTTTAGGGATGAATTTTAGTTACTTTTTTTCAGTTAATTCCAAAGTCTAAGAAACAGAAAAAGAGAGAGAGAAAGTGGGGGGAACAGAAAGAGCCTAGTTCATTCATATATATAAATGTGTGTGTGTGTGTGTGTGTGTGTGTGTGTGTGTGTAGTCAAAAAAGATAAAGAATGTCAAACTTTGCAGAAAATTCAGAGATGATCTTTCTCAAAAACCAAAATTATTCCCATGGATTTGTACTAGAAATAGTGTGTGTCTATTTTAATCTGAATCCTTATTATATATACTTTTCACTTGGTAATTTTTATTTTCCTCTCCTGAGTTTTCTTATACACCTACTAAAATTATATATGAATATATCTCATATATATACATAATATATTAATATTTACACTCACCAATATATATACTAGAAGGGCATTCCTCTAAAATTATATTGTAATTTGTCCTGGCTTTGAACAAATTGTAGTCTCAGTAGTAAAAGGACATGGAGTGACACTGACCTGATCATTACATATTGTGTACATGTATTGAAATGTCGTTTTGTACCCCTTAATTATGTGCAATTACTATTCATCAATTAATGATAAAGATATTTCTAAGAGAAAAGAAAGAAGTGGAACACACCAGCAGGAATGGTTTGTGGCTGTAAGCACATCTTCTATTTTCTGAGCCTCTACTTTGTCTTAAAGTTCTATTCCAAAATCATGACTGGGGGTCTCTCTAATTCATTTTTTTAAAGTCCCACTACAGATGAAGCCCTTTCTTTATTCTTCTTAATCGTCTGAATTTCAGATTGAAGGTCAGTCAGGCCAGAGGTAGAAGTAGCAGACCAAGAAGGACCTACCAATCTAAACTGGGCCCACATTTGGGTAGGTCCTACTCATTCATAAAAGCATAAGATTTCCCAGAAGCCCTAGCAAATGAATGATTGGTCCATAACACAGACAGATACATAGTCATAAATAACCCATCAGTGGGATAGTTTATGGCATAAGAGATCTTGTAAATAAAAGGGATAAAGCAAAAGGGAAAGAAGCAGGAGGTCTTTCTTTTGGTTTACTTCCTTATTTCAACCCAACTTAGGAAAGGCAGAGACTGCTGAACAACATTTGACAATATTTCTGTCTCATTATACAAGTCCAATACCAAGATCTTGAGGTAAAAGCAAGCTAGTTTCTCTGACACAAATATTCACTTTATAACAGGATAAAATTCATTATAAAAAACAAATATTTGTCAATCCCTAAAATATTTATCATTTGCCTGATATATGTAGGCAGTCACACTAAATTTGCCAAAATTTTGGTTTTATGGTCCTTTTATTTTCTAAAATAAGAAGAGTGTGCTGGTGTGGGTAAAATATTTTTTAAATAATGCTATCTGGAGATCTGGTACCCTAAGTCCTATTCAGTAAGAAACCATCTTTCTTTTGAATAGTTTGTTGTGGTAGAAGGAGATACTCTGAAGGCATGAGGCTCATCAAGAACAAAAGCAGTAGAGAGGACAGCTAATCTGTTCTGCTGGTGCTCCTAAGGACAAAATGAGAGGCCTCCAAAGTGAGAGAAAGGGGATAAATGCAGAGCCTGATGGATGACATAATGTGAGGATGGGAATCAGGTAAATCCAAGTAGTCAGAGAAGAATTCACTTTGTTGAGCTGACTTTTAAGAATAAGAAGGGGCAAAATTAAGAACTGGTATAGAAACAAAAGAAAA